TAAGAAAAGTAGGACTAATTAATTTTTCTTTAAGACGTATATATATATATATATATATTTCTTTTATCTTTTTGTTTCAAATTTGACAACTAGGAAAAAAAAAAAACTAATTTATTGGCTTTTTTTTGACATTTTTTGAAAAAATGTGCAAAAAAAAATAGAGATGTAATGTGATGTGATTCTAATAAGTCAATAAACTAATAAATTGACTTTTTTTCTAATTACCAAAATACATTATGTTCTAGCTTTTTTATACTCTCAAAAAATGTACTTTTTTAGTGCATTAATAACATAAAGTAAATGAGATTTATGAGCATGAAATCAAAATAACAAAATTGGAAGTGGGTTGGGATTAAAAAAACACACACAAAAAAAAAGGTAAAATAAGTCCATAAAATAAAATGTCACATCAAAATCATAAATTTTTTCATTTTTTTTCTCATAAAAAAGCAAAAAAAGAAAAAAAAAAAAAAGCAAAAAAATTCTTTCCAAATGGAGCTAATTTAGCCAGGCTAAATTAGCCACAAAAAAAAAAAAAAAAATCAATCTAAAAAAATTCTTCCCAAATGAGCCCTTAGTCTCATTTGCCCAATTAGTTTATAAAGTGCCAGATTAGTATACTTTTTTACTTTTTACAAAAAATTATGAAATATGGGTTGGATTTGAAATGCTGTTATAAATAGATAATGTGACCCAAATAAAATGATTGTGACTCAAATAAGATAATGTTATTTTAACACATGCCAAACAAAGCCTAAATCCATTAGCAAATTTTTTTCCAGTTACTAAGTACAAAAATATATTTTGATTAACTTTACATAGTATTATTTTCAAAACATTTATTTGACATAACAATTTAAATTTCAAAACTTTTACAAAAATCTCTAAGATGATTAAATTTAGATATATTTTTCCTCTTAATTTTACTTAACGAAAATAGACAAATAATTTATATTGAAAATAAATTAAAACATTAGAATTTAAATTGATAAAATATAAAATTTAGAAATTATTTTGTTACAAGAGTTAAACTCTAAGCCCCATATTTATTTTTTTTATTCTATTAAATAATAGTGTATTATAAACACATCAACGTTTGATAATCTAATCCAATATACAAGTACCCTTGATTTAATGATTCATGTCATAATCTCATATTAGGTTTGTCAATTTTCGCACAAAATTGGCACCAAAAACATGTAAGAGTTTTAAAAATCTAGCTTTATTATTCCTAAAAGAGAAAATTATATTGTAAAAAATATTAAAAGACCATTTCCTATTGTCACTAAAAGATAGTTCCAAAAGCAAAAATTTTATAAAAAAAAATTTAAAAATTAGTAGCAAAATTTTGAAATTATTGCTAATAAAAATAATATCATGCCAAAAAAGTTTTTTTTTTAGACAAAAAAATTTGATCTCAAAAGAATAGTAATTCATCACTAATTGTCCAAATTTGTCACTGAAAGTAAAATTATGTTTTTAGTATTTAAGATATTTCATCCTAAAAATGATTTTCTTCCTAAATACTCTAAAACCTAAATTTGTTACATTGGTTAGACTTAGATTTAATCTAACCTAGTTAACCATCACAAATATGAAAAAGTGGCACAAGCTTTGTTGAATTGCGAACATATAGCTTAGTCGTATTTTTCTCTAAATGGCATTTTTTAAAATTTTAGGTGAATATACAAATACTTTATGATATTGATACCATAAAATGTAGTAATCAAATCACTTTGTTTCATAATTTAATGGATCATATAACCAAACAATTTTGAGAAATAACCAAAGATCTTTTTAGCCATAACTAAAATTACAATTACAATAAGTTATAATTGAGTCATAACCAATAACATAATGTGTGATAATCAAATGTCATAACCAAACACCACTTGAGATATGACCAAAGATCTCTTTGGTCATAATCAAAACAACAACTATAATAAGTTATAACTAATATCGTAATAAGTTATAATCCAATCATAACCAACACCACAATACGGTGGTTTGTTACAACTTCTAGGAGGTGATTATAATTTATTTTAATTTAGGAGTATGTGTCAAAATATTTCATGTAACTTCTGCTTATACTTTATTAAGAAGAAATAACTTAAACAAATAGAAAAAAATTGATTATTTAAAAGTTGGGAATGATTATTTTTAATTTCTACTTTCTGATTATTAACTTTTAACTTAAAAACAATAAAAAATTTTATAAAAAAAAAAAAAAAAAAAAAAAACTCCACCAAACAAGGCCAATAAGTCTTATTTTATTAATAGAGTTTATTTAGAATATCTCCAACGTTTTTTTAAATTTTTCATTAAATTTTAATTTAATGAACAATAAGTCATATCTAAAAGCCACAAAAATTATAATTAGAAAATATGATATACACCTTTTTCAATGCGTATATTACTCTATTTGTCCCAAAATATTAATTCCTTATTCTATTTTTTATTGTCTCAAAATATTAGTCCCTTTTCAAAAATCAAGAATTAAAATAATTTAAATTTTTTTTTTTGCACTTCTTTTAAATTCATTAACAATACAAAAAGTACGATTATAACAATTGATATTTTAAAAAAATATATTATCAAAAAATAATTTTGAAAAATTAATATTTTTAAAATATAATAATTGTACTAAAAAAAATTAAATTACTTAAAAGAAACTATTATTTTAAGGCGGAAGGAGTATAGAATTTCCCCTTTTTGAAGGCATAGTCATTAGACTTGTTTAATGTTATAATAGCATTCATCTCTAGATGGACTGTCGCTTCAGTCTTGAGGCGACACATGGCATTGGGGAATCCACTAGGGAGCAAGAGTCAGAGGTTCGTTCTCGATTTCCTAAATTATTTGCATCTTAATTGTATTTTCAAGTAGCCGTTGGCCCTGTTTGGTAGAGTTGTGAGAAAATGTTTATAGTTTATGCCTCAACAGCTTATAGCTTATAACTTTCAGTTTAAGCTGATTTCCAGCTTATTCTTAAAGCATCTCCTGCTCTACTAAAAAAATAAGCTGATTTCTGACTTCTAAAAAGCTATAAGTTATAAGCTATAAGTTAAACTAAACACATCAAAATAACTTAAATTAAGCTGAAAACTGAAATAAACTGTAATTAAGCTCTGCCAAGCAGACACGTTCTTGTTTTCCTTAGCTCTTTGATTTCAATGACAAAATTTCTTAAGGTTAGTAGGCTATATAAAGATCAAGTTAACTTAAACTTTTAAATAATGTAATTGAGTTCGTGTTTCATAATTTAATTTCAATTTAGACTCTAGTTGAGTTAATTTCTTACGGGAGTTTGTTCATTTGGTTAATTTCCTAAGTGATTTCTACATGCATCAAACTAAGGGGTTGTTTGGAGTGTCCTAAATAAGTACATTTTTTGTCTTTTTAGACTAAAAAATTGAGGAAGAAAATATAGATGTTTGGGTTAATTATTTAACTTTTTATGAAAAAATGTGTAATAAAAAATTGTAAAAATTGGTTTGTAGAAGAAAATTAGGATTGAGAGTTGTGCAGCCGTAATTGTTGACTTTTGGTAAATAGTGTTAACTTTTTAACTTTTTGAGTAACTTTTTGACTTTTTGGCTTTTCCTGGACATGCCAAACTTGGCCTAAGGCCTAGTTTGGGAAGACTCTGAGGCCAAGTTTGGAAGACTAAATAAGTGCATTTTTTGACTTTTTTTTATATTATGTGTAGAAAAAGTAGAGAGGAGATGTTGATTGATGTGACCTAAAAAAGATAAAAAGATGAAATAAGTGCACTTTTTTAGGTTAGCCAAACTTGGCCTACATAAGTGCACTTTTGCCTTTTTATGAAATATGGATTCGGTTTGGGTTGGGTTTGAAGTGATGTGTTAGAGAGGTGATGTGACTTAAATAAGATGATGTGACTTAAATAGGATAGTGACTTTTTGACTTTTTGTCTTTTTTCAATCATGCCAAACTTGGCCTAAGTTTTGCACCGGATGGAATTTACAAGGATCCAACACATCATAAATATCTAAAATCTATGGTTTTTAACTATCAAGTCATGATATCTTTTAGAAAAAAATTTCGTATACAATACGTACTGTATGTAATTTTATCACAAAATTATTAAATTTTCACAAACTTATGTAAGTAATTTTATAAAAATGCGTAAGTTAAATACAAATTCTCCAAAGTCTTAAGTTTTCACAAACTTACTCAAATTTGTATTTAATTTACGCATTATTGTGAGATCACTTATGTAAGTTCGTGAAAACTTATGTAATTTTGAACTTATACGAATTTGTATTCAACTTATATATTCTTGTGAGATTACTTATGTAAATTCGTGAAAACTTACGTAATTTTACGGTATGATTGCATATCATTTCCTCAAGTCTTAAGGCTTCCCTTAATTATTTTTGAATTTTGCATATATAATAGTTGAATTATCAAGTCATAATTATGTGTGCAATAAAGAATATACAATTATTTTTAGATAAATATTATGAGTGTGAATCATATGTAAGTTATGTCATTGTGAGTTTGATCATCACAAATGGCATAACTCAATATTATAAGAGTCATAAATAATAATAAAACATATTGAATTAACCAAATATCACATGAGATATAACTAAACAACTCTTTGATCATAACTAAAATAATATCATAACTAATATTACAATGTGTCATAACTAACAACACAGTAACTCATAATTAAGAACACAAAGATCGTAACTAAAAGTGCATATGATACACATCCTAAAGAAAGTGTGTACCATAAAATTTCCCTTATTTTTAACATTATTAAGCAATGTTCTTAGAGCGCTCGTTAATCAAACCCTATAAACAAAACTAGACAAAGTAAGGAGATTCATTTAAGGCTAAAACATAAAATGCTCCTACTTTATGTCTCCAAATATATGGACCTCAATAAATATATTTCATAAGCGACATTGCTAACCCAATATAAAAAAAGTGGCAAAAATAACAAAAACAACGAATTAAAATTGACTTACAGAATTTTGTGCCTCGATTTGACTCCTGCAACGATGAAAATACATATTGTGATTAACATGTAAACTCTCAAAAGTCAATAAAAATTAAAGAAAAAAGCAATTTTCTCTTTTGCATTGTGGCTTCAATGAATGTGAGCTTACCAGTTGTAGCTTGTGATTGCCTAACAATAAAGATAAACGATGATATGGTGCTCCATATGGGAAGTCCTTACCTTTATATATAGAAACAAAGTGTATTATTGAAGGATAAAAAGAAAAGCAGAGAACAAATTACTCACTTGCAATCTTGTTTAGAAAACGGTAGTGCTACGTAGCTCGAAACCCGTGGCTCGAGTTTGGCTCGACACCAAAACGACGTCGTTTTGGTGTCGATTTTTTTTTTTTTTCTTTTTTCCGTGTTTTTGTTGCAGAACGAAGAAGAAGAAGAAGAAGAAGAAGAAGAAGGGAGAAGAAGAGGAGGGAGGAGGAGGAGGAGGAGGAAGAGGAAGGAGGGGAGGGGAGGGGGCCATAAAAATCGGCTGGAGGAGGAGGCGGGGCTGCGACTACGACTGCGACTGCGACTGCGACTGTGACGATCGGCGAGGCGGTGGCGATGGTGCGACGATCGGCGAGGCGATGGTCTGAAGCTTCAATGATCGGCGGCGAGGCGACAGCGGTGGTGCTGCGCGACGATCTCCTCCCTCCCTTCTTCCTCTCCCTCCCTTCTCTTTCTCCTCTCCCTCTTTCGAGCCAATTCGAGCCCTTGGTGTCGAGCTACGACTCATTTCCGTTTAGAAAAAGCATAAATTACTTGCTTGCAATCTAATTTAGAAAAAGACAGAATAAAGTACTTCCTTGCAATCTAGTTTTGAAAAAGAGAACAATTTAGTACTTTCTTGTAATAATTTGGTTCCTTACATTCGTAGATAGGAAACAAAATGTATCCAAGAACCCAAAAATTATGAAAAAAGGAACAAATTACTTGCTTGCTATGTGGTTTAGAAATCAAAAGTTGGAATCCTTCACTAGGTGATACATATCTTACATGTAGATCTTTTGGTTATTACATGTATATGGGTTTTTTAATGTTTGGTTGCAAGTTTTATTATTATTATTTTTTAGAAAAAAAAAATTATCTTCAAAAGAAAAAAGAAGAATTAATTTTTTTTTTTTTAAATTAAAAAGTTATGGACTCATCATGATTGAACAGAAAGCTGATTGAATTTGGAACCTATTCATTGTGTTTGGTTTCAGTTTTCTGAGTTCAGTTTTCTAAAAATTGAATTTTTTGTTTTTCATTTTTTTTGTTGTTTTTAGTAAATATTTTTAAAATTTTAAGTATTTTTTTAAATTTTTTTAGATGCACCTTAGTTAGATGTGTCTAAATAGTAAAATATTTATAAAAAAAATATTTTTAAAAATTAATAAATACACAAAAATACGAAAAATGTACTGAATTTTTGTATTTTTTTTGTATTTTTGGTACTTAGTGAATTTTAAAAAAATCATAAATATTATACTTTTTAAGTGTATTTATGTTAAATGTGTCTAAAAATTTTTAAAAATTTCTTAAAATATTAAAAAAATTTCAGTAAAAACAAAAAATAAATAAGAGAAATAAAAAAGTAGAATATTCTAAAAAATGTTTTCTGAAAACTCAAAGCAAGCAAAGTAATTATTATTAATTTGTATAGGGTTCTAGAGTATATGAGCTCATGCACTATGCAATTGTTGTTTCAAATGTAAAATGGAATAATTTCCAAGACTGAAGGCAATTATTTAATCAAATGGATTCTTCAAGAACAAATTTCTTTGAAAAGAAATGAGATAGTGGTAAGTTTGGAAATTTTATAATACACACTACGAAAAAGAGGTATATTATATGCTCAATTACGATTTTTGTAATAATTTGTGTTGTGACTAATTTTTTTTCTTTTTTTCTTTTTTTTGTGATTAGAAGAAAGGTTACTACATTAAGAAGAAGAAAGCAGTACATCAGCACTAAGCAAGCACAACAAAGGTGCAGGTGGAAACACAACCCAGTAACAAGGTAAAACATTAGAAACTAAAGACTTTGCTACCCAGTGGGCAACTCTATTATTCCGACACCCAGTCCAAGAAAAATATAGACTTTGCTGAATAGCTACGTCACGGATGTCCTAATCAAGGAAGCACACTCCCACGGGGGAACAAGTTCTGAGACACACAGGTGAATAACCGATTAATTATCACTTTCAATTTCCACCGAGAACAGATTAAGAGCTAGAGACACTAAACAAGCCAACCGAATGGCATAAGCCTTTGCTTGAAGGGCCGAAAAAGCTATTAAAGATTGGGCCCTTTCCTCTACAAGCTTACCATGGGAGTCATGAACAACAACAGCAATGCTTGCCACTAAGGAGTGCTTGCAAAAAACTGCATCACAATTGACTTTGAGATTCCCAGGCAGAGCTGGCCTCCACCTATCAACGGCAGGTATAACAGGGACAGATAGAAAGGACATAACAGCATTAGTAGAGTGGAGAAAAACTAGCCTTTCTTTCCATGCTTGGGAAATTCTGTGGCAAGTAGCGAATGGGTCCACAAGGAGGTGATTAAACACAAATTCATTTCTAGACTTCCAAATAAACCACCATACTGTTGCCACTTGACTCAAAAAGGCCCTAGCATCTTCCTTAGACATATGTCCACTGGGCCACATTCAGAATGGAATCTTTAGGAATCTTGAGAGAGAGACTACTGCCAAACCAAACTGCTTGTGTCCACGAACAGTCAAAAAGCAAGTGTTTAACTATTTCCCTTTCATTAAGACAGATAGGGCAAATAGGCATCGGAGCACATTTTCTTTTATGCAGCCCATCTTTTGTAGCTAGAAGGTTGTGGCAAGCTCGCCACCAAAAATGGCGAATTTTAGGAGGGGTATCAAGGCTCCAAATGAACTTCCATAGTACATCCCCAAGAGTAGATGATGAAGAGGGCCTGCAAATTTTTGTAAAATCACACTCACATAGAGCCAGATCATAACCTGACTTAACTGAGTAATAGCCCGAAGAAGTTGGATGCCAGACCAGATAATCCTCATGTTGACCAACTGCAATAGGGATGGATAGAATGGCCTTCATTTCCTGCTGGGTGAGGTGGTGCTGAAGTGAAGTTAGATTCCAAGACTTAGTAGAATGATCAATTGCATCAGCCACCATATTAATAGTCCACCCAGCTGGTTTGGACGAAAGAATCTTATGGCCTCAACAGCCAAAATCCAACTATTCTTCCAAAAATGAATATGCTCACCATTTTGAACCTGCCACCGAAGACCCTTCATAAGAAGATCTCTGCCCCTTGAGTAAACTAACCCATGTCCAAGACAGTGAAGTCCTTTGAGAAGCCTGAAGAAAATTTGAGTTTGGAAAATAAAGCCCTTTGTACATCTTGGCCTAGAGAGAATTGGGATTAGTGATAATCCTCCATCGAGCTTAGCTAGCCAGGCTTGGTTGAAACTGCGAAAATCCCTAAAACCCATCCCTCCCCTAACTTTAGGCCTAGTCATGGTGGACGAATTTGCCCAATGTATGCCACGGTTCTCAAGATCACCGTTCCACCAAAAATTTCTTTTAAGCGAATTGAGTTTTTGGAAAAGACTATTAGGTAATTCAAAACATGTCATAGCATAGGTAGGAAATGCTTGTACAATAGCCTTTATCAGAACCTCCTTCCCTGCACGGGATAATAGTTTAGTTTTCCATCCTTGAATAGAGAGAGCTTTCTCTATCAAGAATTAAAACACGACAGCTTTAGATTGGCCTTAGGAGGATGAGAGGCCCAGATATTTGGCATTGGGGTTAGCTTGGGAAGTGTTGCAGATGGAAGCTCGAAATTGAGCTGAAGCATTAGATGAAAATAGAACCCCAAACTTATCAATGTTAAGGAATTAGCCCGAGGCACTATTATACACCTCAATGATATTCAATAAATTCATACACTCTCTTTGATTAGCATTAAGGAAAAGAACAACATCATCCGCGAAAAATAAGTGCTTTAAAATTGAGCAAGTCCTCCTCAGCCGCAAACCATAAATCCTTTCCAAATGGATGTTTTGAGTGATAAGATTAGACAACACTTTAGATACCAATAGGAACAAATACGATGAGAGAAGGTCTCCTTGGTGCAGTCCACAAGAGGGCAGAAAGGTAGTTAGCATCTCCCCATTAGCGAAAATTGAGTATTTTGTGGTGGTAACATATTCCATGACAAGGTTGACCCACCTATAATGAAAACCCATTTTAAGAAGGACAACCTCTAAAAAATCCCACTGAATTCTATCATACGCTTTGTTGAAATCAAGCTTAAGCGCAATGTTAGCATTTCTCCCTCTTTTCTTATGCTTCAAATGATGAAAAGCTTCATGAGCCATGAGGATGCTATCTTGGATAAGGCGTCCCAGGATAAAAGCAGCTTGATTAGGTAAGATTAGTTGGTGCGAAAACTTCTTCAAGCGGTTGGCTAGTTGTTTTGTAATGATCTTCATTATAAAATTACAAAGACTAATCGGCTTATATTGGGAGAGCTTTTCAGGTGCAGCTACTTTGGGAATTAGAATGATATGAGTGTAGTTCAACTCCTTGAGCAAATGACCACTGGTGAAGAAACTATGGACAACTTGATATACATCTGGACCCCCACATCTCAATGTTTGTGATAGAAGAGGCATCTAGGCCTGGTGCCTTAAGTGTTCCAAGTTAAAAAACAGTTTTAATCTCAGTGTCACTAACCGGGTGCAAAAGTTCTCTATTCATCTGAGAAAATACCTTATTTTCCACAATCGACAAGGCTTCCTCCAAGTCCCTCATAGTCATAGCTGCATACAAATGTGTGAAATAAGAATGGAGATGGCAGTTGATATCAGCTTCTCTATCCAACCAAACCCCATCATTAGTCTTTAGCTTTACCAGTTGGTTGAGTTTCCACCGTTAGAGGACCGTGGTATGAAAAAAGGCTGAATTTTGGTCCCCCATAGCTGAGTTAGTTAACCCGCGACCTTTGATGCTAGAACATTTTTTCTTTGAAAAGGGCTTGCTACAGCTCCTTCTTAATAGTTTGAATCCGATCCCCATTATCAATCATATATTGTTTCAATTGGGCAGCAATCAGCTTGGCCTTGAGTTCTTGAATTCGAATACAATTGTCCACAAACTCTAACCTGCTCCAGGATAGTAACCTTCTCTTGCAAGCTTTTAATTTCTAAGTCACTTTGAACATCGAAGAACCCCTTTACCGGCCCATCCAATGATTC